ATGGAAAAACTGCACCTTTGGAAAACTCCATAGCACACATTAGCAAACCATGACCAAACTTGAAAACCCCCAGAACAAATTGCGCAGAGGCAATGCCCCTGCAGCACACCATTGGCGAGGTTGACGTAGGTATCATGAATGTCTCCAACCACTGGCTAACACTTGCAATATTGGTGAGAGGCCTTTTGTTCGAGCCTGACTGCCGCAGGCTTTTCTTTGACTCGCTCCCTCGCAGATGATGGCAGCAGCTGGGTAGGGGCGGGGGGTAGGTTTCTCGGTCGCTGGACTGACGCTGCATTAACCGGCACCCTCAGCAGTGAAGTCACGGGTATGGGCTATCTTAATAGGGAGTGTTTCACATTTGTATGGGGTTTTGAGCCGAAATGGCCATTTTGAAGATCATTCGGTGCAGTTCACAGCTTTGTCCTTTTCAAGACCCAAAACCCTCCAGCTTCTGGGCTTTTCGCCCGCGAAGATTTGTAACCTATTTCGTGTAGACTTTTTCGAGGCCATTCAATTATGCATGATGTCATAACAACGCCATTCAAATCCTGCCACCCCATAGACTATGTGGTGTTCATAGGCAGGTAGAATATTTGTGTTGAACCGTTCAGATCTGGCATCCGTGAGCACGACTTCCAAATATAGTGGACGGCTCTCAATCAAAGTTGAGGAAGCTGTACAAGTTTGAATTAAGAATCGCCTTTTTGAGCCACATGACATAGCAAGCTGGACAAAGTTACTACCAATTAATAAAAGAAGACTTCTAAACGAATAACTTAAGAAAATCGTCATAATCGAGTATGTGAATGCAAGTTAACATCTTAAGCTCACGGCTAATGTGCAAGAGCACCACGATAAAAGGCCAAACACGAGCACATCGCGATATTTGGCGCAGTGCACACGTCCAGCACATTACTTCCACTTTTCAACGAGTTTGGAGTGCTACAATTGAGTGCTAACGCAGAATTCGCATGGCTAGTTTGGCAGCATCTCAACTTCATGCAAACGTTCCATGACACAAACAATTGCGTATTGAGGGCATATTTACTAAGCAGAGAAAATTATGTTGTCTCCAGCAGTCTTTTCCACTTAAAAATAAGCCATTGCTTATAAGTGAGTTTAGTTTAATCTCTCCCATGTTTACTTCATTATCTTCTAATGTGCAACTTCGATGCAACAACGTCCTTTAAACGCTCGCCCTGATGGGGAGGGGTCAATATATCCCAACAAGGTATTGTGAGGGTACCTCTCTGGTATGTTGTGAAATCGCACCCACATTTTCAATGGTCTTTGGGCATCGCTTGTTTTGACGCCAAAAATGTGTCCCTGGCTTCTCTGGTTGGGGAGTTTCTCGGCGGTTTTTATGGGCAGTGCACAGCGATCTACGGCCGGCGCGGGCGACGTGTGACAGCCGACGATGCCGCGGAGCGTGCGCAGCGGACCGACATTGTTACATTAACGAAACAATATATCGTGATCATTTGTTCACAACGCATAACAATGTAAACCCATGTACTTAGCATTGAACAAGGAACACGCTGAGATTTGCGTCTCCACCAGACATGATCCGTATGGGTGATGCAATTTTTTTTAAATTGCGATCATCTGGAAAATTTTACCTTGATTTAGCATAATGAGGTAAATTGTTAATATAGCAATACACTAACTGGTACTGATTGGGAGGTTTTTATTTGAGCCATACAGTGGTGCTTTCCACTAAGCCTTATCTTTACTAGCTTGGAAATGCCGGGCAAATTACATTAACCCCTCCCCGAGCAATCCACGTTATGAAAAACGGCAAATCAGGGCGAGGGCTTCACTTTGCTTACTGGCATATGGAAATGGCTGGAGCAAGAGTTTGTGGTCGACCAGTCGGAGACATTCCATCGTGAACTCTTGGGTAACATATTCCAATGTCAGCATGAAGCGCAGGCCTGGATACTTAGTCCAAGCCAAGCCATTTCTACCCACCAATGAACTGGAAGCACGCGGATAAAGCCCACAGCCGTCACACAGCGGAGGCGCGGTCCGCATGCACAAGCAGACAAACGAGCGTTGCATGCATATTTCCCAGGACCGTCCAGCGTGAGAATGGGGACACCATGAGCGGCTGCTCCGTGACCGCGGTTCATCAGACCCGCGCACTCGGCGCCTTGATGGGCTTTCAGGGCCCACACCGCGCCGTCAGCCGGGCGAGCCGCTGCCAGGCATCAGCTGGCGCCGAACTGAAACCTCCCCGTCCTGGTGGTAGCCTTTGTGACGTGAATTCGGGCTCAAAACGAGTTCAGTGCGCGGGTGTTACATGAGTAGAAGCGAAACGACACCGGTCTTTAGAGTGTACACTGACGCGGTCCACATTTGCATACGTGGATTACGGGCCATTACGAACACCGATGCTGCTTTCGCCCACCACTTTGCGTGGTCGGTCGTTCGATAGGATGCCCATTATCCTTGAAATAACAATGGTTGTGCGGAGCTAATAACCCCAACAGCTTGTGTTCTGAAAAACATTGGCACTTTAGTTCTTTTGAAAAATTGATGAAAAGCACGCACCAGTCATTTGCAGCCAGGACCTTGGAAAAAACATGTGGCATCTTGAGGTGGACGCTGCTTCAAGAACTGAAAAACGACTCATGATTATCCCTGTAACCTATAGGCAGCGGATCAGGCACCAAGTTGAGTGATCAACCATTGCCCCCCCCCCCCCCCCCCCCCCCAGACTCGTGTGCAGCTGCATTCATCAGGTCGACACCCACCCAGAACAGTAGCCTGCGTGCGGGCGGGTCAGCGAGTCGATAGGCGTGGAGCCGTGTCAGAAGTGTAAAGGCGCTTAATGAATACCAAACTGGCGTCATCTGCCGACGACGCGCGGAGCCAGTCAGCGGCTTGCGAAGCTGAAGTACTCGGCTTCCTCTTACATGACGCGATACACAGATATTCGTCATGTGTCCGTGCCAGTTCAGGATGCACGGCATAGCTTTTACTTTTAGAACATTAGCTTGAGATGAAAGACACATTTTAGCATATCTGCGCACCTGAGCGAGCTGTTTGGTGCTGTCAAGGAACACCTCTGATTCTTTGTTTAATCAACAGGGAAAGTGGGACTGGTGGGTGGCGTATGACCAATGGATTCGGCATGCCCTAAAAACCTTAAAAATATTGGACATTGAAGTGAGAGTGCGTTTACATTGCACTCAGATGCGTATTTTCGATCTGGTTTTGTGTGTAGTAACCACCAAAAACGTAGTGTTTCCTGCGTATTCGTCTATATCCCATCATCGCGTGTAGAATATATCAATGCTTGCATACGTGACTGATTTTGTAGGTCTGCTCCTGAGGGAGGCCTCGGGGCTGTCAAGGGCATATAAGCCACGTCGACGATTTTGGCACAACCTACACTCATACACTATCGGCACAACTGATCGGTGGCTTTACGATAGTAAGGTAACTGTTAGCAAAAAAAATACCATATTGACTGTTACAATGCTCATTGGTCTTTTGAACGACTCATCAAGCCAGCGCGCTGAAACAGTGTGGATAAACAATACAGCTCGTGGTTTATTGGAGGTAAGAAGAGGAAGAAATATTTACAGGCACCGGTATCGAAGTCTGGATTTCTAAAGTGTCATTTGATTCACTGCGCCGTGCACTCAGGCGTAGGAGACAAGACTGTTCACTGAACAGTTACAATGAATCGGTTCAATAGGATGCACATGGCCAATAACTATGATATCGTCCCCCGTTCGACATATCACCCGGCATACACCCCGTCTGCGGTGCGTCGAGGCTTGCGAGCACTTGAAATACGTCCTCGTTTCGTCAAACGAATTGTGAGGGTTTTCCTTCCTTACAACAGGTAACCTTCCATCATTTGTATCATCATTTACTGCCTCTCCTGCGTAACGCAGTCTTCACGCCCACTTCGTTAGCCAGCTACCGCCATTGGCCCCAAACCACCTTTCGCCAGGAAGGCAACACGCCGTCTTCAATGTCTGTCTTATGGCGTGGTAAAGCTGTGACATATGCCTGCTTCGCAAGTGCGGTGTCGCCCACTAAGGAGACTCGCTGCTTAGAACGTAGTGCGGTCTGGGCCTGCGCAGTGACTGTGTGTGAGCGACTGTGTGTGTAACCTGAATACGAGCGCGTGCAGCCGCTGCTTAGAACGCAGTGCGGTCTGGGCCTGCGCAGTGACTGTGTGTGAGCGACTGTGTGTGTAACCTGAATACGAGCGCGTGCAGCCGCTGCTTAGAGCGTAGTGCGGTCTGGGCCTGCGCAGTGACTGTGTGTGAGCGACTGTGTGTGTAACCTGGATACGAGCGCGTGCAGCCTGCAAGCGAAACGTGATGAGTTTGCGCACCTGCCCACACTGCTGACGGATCTCATTAGCTGTTCATAACCTATTGATGTCTACCTTCCGCACCAGGTGGTCCGGGAACAGGCAAGGTGACACTATCAGAGGCCCTGGCCCAAGGCTCGCAGGGAAAACTCAGCCATATCTCGATGACCAAAGTTTTGAAGGACTACGCTAAACATTTCGGTTAGTGAAAGTTGTATTTGATGTGCGAACGAGCGTGACTACACGGTGCGCATGCTTTCTGCAAACATGTTCATGCATGTTTTTAAACCATCCGTTGTCTGCCAACTCCATCTCATTGACATTTTTAGGCAAGGATGGCTTTTTCGTGCCTGCCTGCGTCAATAAACGGCTCCACGTGATCCCATTGGCGCCGTGACCGTTAGTGGTTTGGCGTTCGCCTGCACCTACCAGAAGCACGTGCATCGTGCAGGCCGGCAGTGGCACAGCAGCGGCACAGCACGTGCCATCGCGATGACCTTATGGCGTGTAGGCTTGACGTGCTGAGCAGTATTGATGCGATGGTCTAAATCTGGCCAGTCACTGCCGAGGTGGAGTGGCTCAATACTCTGCCACGTTTTCAGACATGGATCACGGAGGCATGGTGCCATCAACAGCAGCAGTGGAAATGCTTACCGCCAGAATGAAGGCTTCCAATGCCCGACTTGGATTCGTTATATCGGGTTTCCCAAGGAACATCGACGATGTAGTAGAATGCGCCAAGAAGGTACGGACCTCAAGATACTGGGGAACAGAACAGTACGTTGCATTGTTTACGCAAACAAAGCAGGCGAGGAACTTGTTCCCCAAATGCACTTGATGAATACTCCACGCTTACATCTTCAGCAGGCTATTAGTAAGCTTTCGCATCTCTGTCAGCTTGTGTCACAGCACCTGAAAAACTGCCGTGTTTTTTGGCCCCAGTAAAAAAGGCTGTTACCCTCGATACGTTCTAAAATCCAGCCAACTAACATCAGATGAGACTGTAAGAAAGGATGTTGCTGCTCCAAATGCGGGTAGCTTCTCTAACACCAAACAAATTTAGAGGCCCGGACGGAGGCGGCTGCATAAGATAGACGGAGGAGCAGTTGTGCCGTCTCCAGCCACCAGTCGGCATCGCTGGCGTCGCCAGGGCGGCGTCAGCACTGAGCCCTTCTGTCGGCCCCGGCAGATATCGCGGCTGGACGGGGTCATCCTGCTGGACCACCGGCAGGAGATGCTGGAGCGGCTCGTGCAGGACGGCGTGCAGGTGAGAGACTCGTGGCCGGCCAGCTCAGGCGGCTGGACATGCAGCCAGTGGTGGGCAACGTACCGACGCTTGCCCGCCCGCCTGACTGACCGACGCTGACATGGCATTTCTTGTTGGCGTTTAACACAGAAGAATAATGCAAGCCTTGCGTGCGTACGTGTGTGCATGTGGGGAGGGGGTGTGGGTGTGAGTGTATGAGGTGAAGTGAAGGTGAAGTGAAGTGAATAGTTACCACGGTGGCCAATGCCGTATTTGATATGTGGCGATCCCCAGATCTGGTATGTGATGAGCCACAATCTGAGCTGTGACGATTCCTGGATATGACTCGTGGCGATCCCTGGATCTGATCCGTGATGAGCCTCGGATATTACCGGTGACAATCCCTGGATCTGAACCGCATTGATCCCTGAATCTGGTCCGTGACGAGCCTCGGATATTACCGGTGACAATCCCTGGATCTGAACCGCATCGATCCCTGAATCTGATCCGTGGCGAGCCTGAAATCTGATCCGTGACGAGCTCCGGGTTCGGCCTTGCAGTCTGGCGCGCTGACGGCGGAGGCCGGGGAGCTGGAGCTGCGAGAATTCCTCACGCACGTCCTCCCGCTGACAGAGCTCATGAACAACAAGGACGTGCTGTACAAGGTGTGGAATGGGCCATTCGGGGTCGGTGGAAAGAGGTCTAGAAAATCGCGTTTGCTTTGCTAATATGGTCCAGGTCTCTTGGCCTTTGAATGTATGTCATCTAACTCGCGCCCGGTTGGCCGGTTGGCCTTTGCTCGGGTGGGGGTCAGTTTGAACCCGCTGAGATCTCGGAAACCAAGCGAGCTAGAAACACCAAATTCACAGGGTGTCTTGATATGTGCGTGAGCTTACCTATATTAAAGTTTGAGTTTCCTATGTCATGACCTTCGGGTCAAATAAGGTCAAGCAAAGTCAATTCCGGGTCGGTCTCCAAAGGGCTGCTGGCCCTGGATAATTGTTTCAAACAAAAGGTCACATGCTCATTTAAGGTCACTGACCTTACTTGATCTTTTGAAGGTCATGGTGACCAAAATCCTACAAGACTGCTTTGAGTTTTGCAATTGAATCAACGAGAAAGATTACGCTAGGCAGTATGTTTCTTAAACAAAACGTTGACCTGGTTCATTTTAGGTCAGTGACCTATTGTGAACTTCCAGAAGTCAATGGAAGATACATAATGCGGGTCCTGTTGTCACTAAATTTGAAATGAGCACCAGAAACTGTCCCATACAGCAAGCCTTAGAGCAATAAAACAGGTTGGTTTTGACCTTGGCTTGACCGTTATACCTGACCTTCGGTCAGTGGAATTTGTTCATTCAATTGTTGTGTTGCCTACGAAAACATCTCAGAGATGTATGGCTTTGTCCAACACTACGTTATTGGATCAGATTTAACGATACCCTGGGGATTGCCTTTGCTGAAATCATGACCTTACTTTGGCCTGCCATGGGTCAGCGACCTTACAAGGTATATCTCAATCTGTGATGCCAGGCGATCCGCTATTTAATTGTCTACAGTTGCGCAAAATTTGGCGGGGCTACTCCACGTCGTTCGGAAACCATTCCGGAAAACTTTCTAGAGTCAGTTTGAACCCCATCCGAGCGCGTGTTAAAGCAAATATTCCGCAATCCAGGTGTTTTGTGCATGAGCAATGCAATGCTTTTGTAGTACCACTGTATCATATATGGCACCACATATATCACAGCACCACGGTACCACGTATCATGTTGCATGCCAAGTTGCAGCTAAATGCCGCATTTTTACACTAAATGGCAAAATTTAGTATCAAATGAAGCATATCTTCCAATGATCCATGTGCGACCGTGGGCCAAAGGGCAGTGCTGACATGCGCATTGTTCATGCATGTTCTGACTGGAAATGGTTCCGTTTTCAGATCAACGTGGTTGAATGCGACATGCACGAAATTGTGAACGAAATGGATTCCATTGTAAAGAAGTTGGTAGACAACAGCTCAACGCTTCATCCAGATAAGAACCAGAACAACGGTGAGTTTGGTAGCAGTGAATGGACATGTTTTTAACACCCTATTTCAGCTGGCAAAAATGCACAGAAGAACTCTATGTTATGCTCGGCTCACAGTTGTTCCTTGTTGGTGGGCACCGAGAGCACGTGTGGTCTGTCCAATCCTGTTGTAAGTGGTAATTGTGACCAAAAATATGCCGTTCAAATACTTGTCAAAGTTGTCATTACGGTAAACGCATGGTTCTGGTAGGTTTGAAACAATCAAAAACCGCCACGCGGGGCCTTAAATGCGGACACGCTAAGCATAACAGAGTGTGACAGAGCCGAGGGCACCCTGTGTTCTTACGGTCAGCGGCGGATGTCAAGCGTATTGTATGACGCGGTCGTGTTTTAGCGCGGAAATGTGTTTTGATCCTCATACATTCGACCGCGTCAGTCGTTTTTACATTTTGTACCATATGACAACCAGTCTTTATGCTTTGCCACCCGTTGACAGCCGTATGCCCAATACCAGCCGTGCTTTGTGTTTCAAATGTCCTCAGGAATATCAGCACGCGGCGTGATTTATCTCAAGTAGAGCTTAGCTCATGCGTGTCAGCATCACGTGCGCTCAAGTGTCGTTTCACGGGCTCGCGCAAAATGTTTGATTTACCACATGTTCGGGGTAGATTAGAGCAAAGCACGCTTATAGCCGTCTCACTAGCGCAACCGCACAGATCCGGGAAACGTGGCTACCCACTGCTTCAAACCACAGCAAAACCATTACCACATGTACAGACCGCAATGGCACGGCAGGACGTCGCGGACTGGATTCGCTCAGGTTTCACATCTTCGGTTGCGTGAAGGAGCGCTCGGCCAGTGGCCTTACTTGCCGTGAACCTTGTATTCGTTGGTGCTTAATGTACAGCGCACGATCGTGCAAGCTGCTAAGGAGCAGTTGTTGCACGTCGGTGGGTGGCGATCTAGAATGTCGCCTGTATTTTGTTAGGTGTGGTTGGTACCTGATGGCGTGTTTGATGGACCTGGCTTTGTTTGCGTGTGCCGAGTGTGCCGGTTTTTCGATTGACTACCATGCGAGCTTACGTTGTTACCACAGACATGGTAATATACATACCAGTGCCTGTTCATAGATTTAAGTTCCTGTTATTTGTTTTAGCATGAACTTATCATGTTGTATTCAGCCCCACTAGCGCACTCACGGATCAGCCAATCAGATATTTCAGTTCAGCTCTCGGCTGTCCATCTTGCGATGCAGCGGATTTGTCCTATGACGCAATCTGTTAACCGGTCGAGAGAAATGCTTTGGTTACGCGTGACACAGGTGTTTGCTCTTTTACCTTGCTTGTTCTCACATTGAACAAAAAATGCATGAAAACATGATCATTGTGCGAAACAAACCAAACGTTTAAAACCCGTGGAATACTTGCAATAGTTCAAGCATGGTTTGATTAGAACTACTGTTCCTCTCCAGAATCATTCAAATCGTTCCTGGAGATGGGTAAGTACGGCATTTCGAATTTTATATGTGACGCAAACTCAAAGGCTTTGTATATGCCACAATGGTTGCATACACAGCGTTGGTGGCCAAACCGTCCCACGCACTCTACCACTGGCAATGACGTCGCTGATATGTCCGGAAAATCCAGTGGTATTTATGCCAGCCTGAAGCAGAGTTCACTTGCGCAAGCGATAACTTGCCTATTTTGCTCAATGCAAGGATTACATACAAATTGTGACGCATATGGGAGAGCATGGAAGAAGTCCTTCAGCACGTGCATCTACATCTCTGTCATGGTCTCTGTAGTATTCGGTCATCCGCTCTGCCCTAACGGATGGCGGTTAAATAACATTGCAAACACCCCTGAATGTGTCTGAAATACGTAGCCAGACTTTGGGTCGCTAAGTCCCGTTCCCTCTAAATAGATTAGCTTACATGTCGGCCAAATCCCATCAAGCTCGCAACCCAAAACCCCTAAGCGTGATGACGATCTGAGTGATGCTGTCGGCCAGTATGTTTGAGTATTTGGGGAGGCGGTGTTCACGTCGGACGCGACCGTGCTGCGACGTAGGGTTTGTGTGAAATTTGATTAACTGTAGGGAGCTAACCACATTTGTTTGGTTACCTCCAAGCTCAATCCAGCTGTTTCCCCAACCCAAGCTTGCGTTTCCGTCTGAACCAAGCTATACAGGAATATATATTCAACGCGTCACTGACTTCGCGATAATTGGCCTGCATCTACAATAAGTGTTTATTTCATACTTGAAAGATAGACTTGCGAGGTGCTGTAAATGCTCCTCCACATACCTTATAGCTACAGCTACAGCTACAATATGTGCACTCTTATATCATACAGTGCATGACGCATGACCAATTTTTCATTTAAGCCGGTTAAATGTTATGCATGCATGAAGTCCAAAGTTTTCACTAAAGCCATTTTGAACATAATTAGGTACTTTTTTACTTGTCAAGGCGACTTTTGCCAGCTGTTGCCGTGCTTTCGTGGGTACCATGGGGGCTGCATAGCCACGCGGACACGTGGATCAGTTCGGCCGAGGCTCGCCCCTGCCGGCGTCCGGCCACCGCCGGACACCGCCTGTCTGTGTCGACCGCAACTGTATCGTGCGGACACTCATGTGACAAAGGCCGTGAAAATTGCAGTCAAATAGTGGTAGATTCGTGCACATTATGCTTAAATGCTGTCCTGTTGTTGCACCGTGTCCAAGTTTCGCAGTGTACCGTGTCCATTTTGTGTAGCCATTAGGTCTGGTTTTCGTATGTGCCTTTGCTGTTTACTGTCGTCAAAGCCCAAGTAATACGCTATCAAGACGTAAATACAATTGCTCCTGCTAGTATACCTCATTATTTAACCGTCTTACAAACTCCCGACACATGCAGACATGCAGTACCCACGGCTGCACGTGGTGGCTATCGTGATCCTGCTCCTTTCCTTGGCATCCGCAGTCCCTCGGAGCCCCCAATGACTATCCGAACCCTAAAGCCAGCCAGACTACTAGCCCAGACCCACCTCCAGTCGTAAGCTATAAACAATGGATACCACGACCTGTTAACTTTGCAAATTCGTCCTCTGCAACTCTAAGCGCAGTGATAAGACCCCATTGAAATTGCATTCATTTGCCATCTACAATATCTGCACTCGCGTATTTTAGATATAGCCCTAACGTTTACAGATTTTGGTGCCCCCCGACGACCGTTCTGGAAGAGACTTTCCACGATGGCGTCTAAATAAAACTTGTTAAGCCCTCCCGGCGTTGCCGGACACGTGCGTGTTTTCTAAATGCGTCACCTGGCTCTAACATATGCATGTGTCCCTCAGATCTGCGAGGTGCCCCAGGTCCCCCCAGGTCAGGCCTGAGGGCCGCGGTGTCGCTTTCCCCTCGTCAGCGAACGTCCCGACCTGTCATATTTGTCATAGGTGAGCCGCACGGTCGTGTCTGTTAGCCTGACAGCCTGCCGAGTCGCCTTCAGGTCACCGAGGACAGCCGGTGCCTGGAACTGCCCGCTCGCCGTTGTCATTGCTGTGGTCGCTTTACAACTGACTCGATTTGGTGGCTCTCTGCGAGATGTGCAGCCCGTGGAAGTTGTTTAGGCCAACAAAGTACGGAGTGGTCCCCCAAGAAAGATGCTCGTTTGTGCGTTTGAATGCTGTTTCAGTGCTGTGATGTTTGAACATTGCTTGTCAGAATAGCGCGAGCGGTGTCAAATGCATAAAATGTGTGGTTTAGAAATATGATCCCGAACTGCACAGTACTTTGGATATATCAAAGCTCAAAGCGATTCTTTAATGAGCTTTCAAATCAAGGTAGATTATCGTTACGGATGCCAATTTCCAATAACCGCCCTCAAAATACACAGACCCAGTACCCCAAATAACAGTGCAACTTGTTTAGGAGTGAGCGGGAACGCCAGCAAGCAGTTTTTGGCTCAATTAGATGTCATACACGTTCAGCTTCTGTGCTTGTCATGAGTTTTTGCGCTTTGTCTTTGGCCCGTTTTCACAATTAAAATTTTTAGTGTTGATTTATGGCATAGAGAGGCGGAAAGTGCCTGCCTGAACTTAAACTAAGTGAAAGACATAATGGCAAGCACACTTATGGTTCCACCTTGTGTGTATGCCTTGTTTATTGTCTTCCGATATGCATTTTCAACCTTGTGGATTAAACGCATGTTTCTGGGGTGCGCTTGTTCAGGACAAGCAAACCTCATCATTGCGAGAAAGGTGCAAGCAAACCTCATATATGTTGAGTCCTTTAACTCGATGAATTTTTCGTAATCCTTTGACACTGTCAGGGACAATATGACCCAAATCTCACTGATGACACGTAATGATATTAGATAACACCAAGCATGATTTGAAACTAACTCAGAGACATAACATGCAAAAGATGCATATCATGTTTCTAGACAAAATACTGAACACTAATGTATTTCTTGTTATTTCCCTTTTCACGAACACACGAAAGTGAGACTCCGAGTGTGTTCTGGGCCGCTGTCCTGGATCTGTACTGTGATGCGTCTACGGGATGAGATGGTGTCGATCCAATGCAGTCAGAGTGTGAACGGAGCCCGCAGTTTCAGAGAGGGCCAAGGTGACTGCATGTGACGTTGGATTGTTTCAGTAGATAGGTATCGCGTGATGGGCCGCTTTTCATGAGTAAGAATTCGTTGATCGCGGATGGCTTGTTGTCGGATTTAAGTAAAGCCTCAGCCTGCGACGATGGCATCAGCCCTCAGGCCTCAGTTGGTCCCTTGTAGACACTGGCTCACAGCGCCTCCTGACACATGATCGGATTACTCTTTCAGCGGCCTTGCAGACCTGAGACATGCTGGTTTTGTCGTGTAGTTTGTGGAATGAAATGTCTGGAAGAG